ATGAAAGGGAAACTTGTGGTTGTTAAAGAGCTGTGAGGAAACAGTAAAAAAAAGTGGGGGAGGATGATGATGTTAATTTAGACTAAAAACCCATTCAGAGGAGAATAATTACCATCAGGGTGTAAAATTCAAGCGCAGATACTTGGATTTGTTATAAGATGGCTGGTGGCAAAATGAAGATGATCTTGAGTATATTCTCGCATGATTGTTGCTAGCATTATTCTACTTTAAAGGATTTATTGATTATCTGTTGTGAAAATAACCAATGTTATTTGTCAAGATATAATCCAGGTTTCCAAATTCATGGTAAGCTTTAAACATGGCTTAGTCTGAGAAAGGCATCCAGATTCTCTTCAGATTCCAATGTAAAATCTCATTACAACTTCATTTGATTGTTTGGATTTTTTTCAGAAAATCTGGATTTTATGAGATAGGTCATATTTATAATCACTTTGCAAGAAACTGTTATAATAGCCAATCTCAGTAAACATGGTTTTATTTATTTGTTTGTTATTTTCATTTATTTATTTGATTTCTGATTTAACCTTCCTGTGGAGTTGTTTTCTTGATTTAATCTACCTAGTGAGGCTGACACATAAGAGAATAGAACAGAGTAGTGAGAAAATACTTATAGTGAAGAAGCAGGATTAAAATTATGCTGATCTATGACTGTAATAAAGATTTATTTGATCTGAAGCATAACCTTAATGGAGCAAACAGGAGGAGGATTTCTGTAGCTACGGCAGCCAAATTGCAACCTTTTATTATACTGTGTTTGCCCGCCCATGATCAAAATTGTTTAAGATACCTATTACCATCATGTTATTTACCAGGCCTAGAATTGTTACTATATTTTAGTGACTCTTTGTTATATATTTAATCTATTACATCCCAAGAGTTTTCTAAAATGATTCTAAAGTAGAAGAGTGGGCAAGAGACAAGACTGCTAAAGGCAAAGCACAAGTTTGAATTTTTATAATCTTTTTTATTTCTCACCCATTTTATTTTTTTCTTCTACAGTTTAATACTAAGCTACTATTTTGTTACCAAGGCAATGTCATTGCATGACCCATGTAATTATTTAAATTTATTTCAATATTGTTATTATATGGGATCTCTCCCTCATTTTTCCCAAATGCAATACAAGGGGAGTCAGGAAATAAATCTAGATTTGCATTAGGGTAATATTAAATAGTGTTCTTTTCCTTTCATCTCACACTCATCATTGTCATTTCTGTTTATATTCCATATTTTTACTTAGCAGGCCCTGCTAATAGAGTTGTAACAAGCTGTTTTTCTGAAAATAGCTTAATTTTGTCTTTACTTAATATTAAATGTGGTTAGGGAATCCAAGAAATGTCTTCATCTGGTCTGCTTTGAAAAATCCTTTTTTACTTTCCTGATGGCAATGTCCACCAAGCTATGATGACTGTTTTCTTTCTTTTTCTCTTAAGTGAAGTATTTATCACTTTTTCCCTCCAGAAGTTTCATTTGCATCAAAAAGGAAGCTTTTCATTGTGTATCATACGCTACACGGAGTAATGCCACTTATTTTTTTGCTTAAAATAAGGAAATTGATTTTTTAGCCCCCTCCCAAAAAACAACTAAAAACCCATACTATTTTTCTCTGTTCCTCCACAGACCAGAGATATTTCTTTAGCATTGATAGATGCATTCAACATTTTATTTTATTTGGATGTTTCATCTGCATTCTTGTACATACAGATCTCAGCTTTCATTCTTTGAAAAAAATACTTCTAATTCCAGAGGGACCATCTGTCCTTTTTTTTACCCTATGTTATTACTGAGCTAGCATGTCTGTTTTTTATTTTGTTACTTCCTGAGATGATTTCAATAAAGACAACTTAGGGAAAAACTTTGCTAAATTCAAGAATGCCTTCATTGGACGGAAATACATCTTTCTCTCTTTTAAAATAAAATTTGCATTCAATCTTAAATCATACGTTTTTTACAGCTGTATTGCTGCTATGGCCCGGTTGGAGATTAAACTTGAAAACATTGTTCAAACTGGTTAGGTGTTTATTAATTTACGCTAAGCAGCATTTAGGAACTGCAATAATATACTGTATAACAAAGTGCTATGCTGGACATCACATTTTTAGGTTTATTTTATGCATTATTATGCCTAATAAGGAGGATAAAAGCTTAATGCAGATAGAACCAGATTTATTTGATATTCCATTTTTATTCGTGTTCCTTCAAAGTATGTACCATTCCCCTTGTTTTTTTCTCTTCACCAAAAAACGAAATATAGCCACTTTTGTCTGTTTTTAAAACACATAGTTCTCCATATGCAACAAGGTTATTGTCTTCAGCACTTTTTATGACCAAATGCACAGCACATGTTGGCACTACATCCACCCAGATGGCCAAGCCACTGAGCCATCACTTGTTAGGGAGTTAGATGTGACAGTGAAAGGAGTATCTTTGGATGGCACTGGTGATAGCCTGCAGAGAAGCAACTCCCTTTAATTCTTCATAATACTGAACATTTTCTAGGTTTTTTGTTTCTGGTGTGACGAAGACAATGAACTAGAGTTTCTTATATGATTGTGGAAGTAGCAGAAAAGATAGCTAAAGTGTATTATAATTTAGTGGCTGGTTCAGGAATCATGCCTCATTCCAGAAATATGTCAGTTAGTTATTATGGGTAGAATGATGAAAACCTTCTGGTAAGAGAGTTGAAAGGCCAGAGGGAAAGAAAAAGCTTTCTCTACTAAACTTTCCAAAATGCTTCCTTTTAAAAATATACAAAAGGGAATGTACTCTTCTTATGCTTACGAAGGCAAATGATCTGACTGTTAAGAACTATATCAAACTGAGTAATTATTTAAACAATTCAGTTATTTCACTCTAAAAAGATCATCAGTTTCTCCACCAATTAAAAAGACGATTGACTAGATATCTGCTATTAATCAGGTTCCCCTACATGGTATGGTTCAAATATATTAGACTTTGATCGCTTTGGGATTATTGGAAAGGAAAGAAAAAAATGCCATACACCAAAGACAAGTGTCAGAATTTTAAGCTATCATAAAATTTAAACTATCATAAACATAGTCTTGCAGACTGTAGGCCTTGACACGTTGTTGTTTTGTTTCAGCCACTTATCTGAATAAAGGATAGACTGAACAAAACCTCCTATCCAAGAGTTTTGAAGTCAGGCATCACTCCCAATTCTGGTCAACTCATTTGTTTTAGTTGATTTGGGGCCAGTTTTAATGATTGCCAAGTTTTTTAAAAAAAAATTTTTTTTTTGGCATAAGGGCACTTTTCCAAACAAAATGAGGTTGTAACCAATCCCATATTTTATTTTCTTGAAATCACTTATAGCCTGGGAAAGTCTCAAAGACATGATTAGAATAAAAATGATGAGTGAGGTTGGAGCTTTGCTTTCTAAGCAAAAAAACCCAACTATCTATGGGGATTCTCAGTCATCCAGGTCATGGTTGTCTCAAAGGTGCTTTCCCAAAAGGCAGCTGGACTTCGTTTTTCTTTGAAGACATTTCACTTTTCATCCAAGTGAAAATCAGAACTGAAGAAGCTTCTTGGATGAGAAGTGAAATATCTTCAAACAAATTAAAAAGTCCATTTGCCTTTTGGAAAAGCACCTTTGGGACAAAAAACAAATATATTTCTCATTTTTAACAGATCTACATAATCTAAATGAATAAATAAAATTAGCCTAGCAAACATCACAAAAGTTGCCCACAGATGCACCTTTCCTAGTTTGCTCTAGGATAATGAGTTGAACACAATTTACTTCCATCCTGAATTGTTTGGTCAACTTCCTTGCAAGTTTAGAGAATAATCGCTGCAATGCAACAGGCATGCACAAAGCAACAAATGTCACTTTGATAAAGCAATTTGTTTAAACCAAACCATTTGGGTAACATTACATTACATTGGGTCAGGTTTTGGAGAAGGCTGTTCTCGGCCTTCCAGACAGACTAGCCACAGTCCTCATCAAAACTGCCCAGCCTGGCGAAATTTCAAAGTGCCCCAAGAAAGCTCCAGGTAATTATATTGTTATTTTAGAGTATTTTTCTCGAATATCTCCCAGGAAGTCTCACTCTTGCATTCTGATCTCTATGGGAACAAAGGAGAAAAAGGCTGTTTGTGTGCCAGAGCCATCAAATCATTTTATTCTAGACTAGTTTCATCAAGTAAAATTTAATAAATAATAATTCTACAATAAGGACTTTTCTGCTGTTTTAGCACTTTTGAAACAATATTTAGTTTATAGCTTTTATTAAAAATGCTGACATCATGATTTACAGAAACCATTGTATTAACAAATGGACCGAAACCTACCCTGATGTCATCTTTATGCCTTCAATCCAACAGGTGAGACGCAGTGAACAGCTCTCCACTTGTCTATAAAGGTGGTCAAGTAGGTGACAAGACCGTCTCTGTACTTACAGCACAAACCTAGTTTTTTCAAGGGCTGATTCCATGTGAGCTGGAAACCGGGTGAAGGAAGATTCTAGTTCACACGGAAGCATTGTGTATATGTGATACCTTCCCACCCCTGCTGAAGACAATGACCCTATATGTTTATGTCACCAGTTTTACTAGGGAATATTCTAATCAATGATGGAAATTCTAAAATAGTCCTTTTTAATTGTATCACATTTATAGTCAACTGATTTCACAATAACTTATATAAAACTACACTGGAATGCCAAATTTGTTGAACTAAAGGCAAGATGAATTAAACAAACTTGGATATTTACAGAAGGAAAATATAGACCCTCTGACATTGCCAAAAATGGCTAATGCTATTTGGAAAATGACAACACTGAAAGGAGAAACTGGCTGTATACCAATTCTTCATTCTTTATGAAGCAGATCAAAAGTTACTCTGTGGAATATATGCAAATAAACTTTTTTAGCAAGGCAAACAAAAGAGCAAATGGTTTAAAGAATCAAAAGCTAGAAATGTTACAATGGAATAAAAGGAAGATGCTCCAATTTACCTCTTCTCTATGGTTCTTTATTGGCATACAAAGAATGCTTCGTGTTTTATAGCCTGTGATTTGGTCCACTTCAGCATTGAATCGGGGATCCTGCCAAAGAAAGAAAATATGTAACTGTGTACACACTTTTTCAAAAGATGTTCCCATTTATTTATTTCATAAAACCGTGGGATATCTAACTAACAATTCTTCCTGAAAATTATATTTCCATTCTGAGACAGTCTGTAAGAAGATTCAACCTATTTAGGAATTCTTGTCTTCTTCTTTTTTTAAAAAAAAAACAAACCATAAATTTCTAAAGGTCTGTACAGAGCAGTGGTGGGATTCAATTTTTTTTAGGTGGCAGAGGAAGGATACTATAAAATCTCCAGACAGAGGTCTCCATTTGCCAGTTCTCTGAACTACCCAAAATTTCCGCTATCGGTTCTCCAGAACTGGTCAGAACCTACTGAATACTACCTCTAGAACGACTAAGATTTAGTGATATGCAATCCTGTGAGATCATTAGAAAGGGAAGGGCCAGCACATAGCATGTGAGATAAACTTTGCTCAGCATAAACAGGGCTAGGGTGAATTTATGTTTACAGGGTTTAAGGACAGAGATTTGGGTCTCTAGTAAATGAGTTTCCTTAGAATATCTACTGTCAAAAACATTAAGTTCATGCTGGGGAGTATCAGAGAACAACTAGGGAGCATCATGGAACAACAGGATGACTAGAATTATATTGGACAGACACACATATAGTTTATATATAAGTAAGGTTTATAAATAAGTACAGTTCAGATCACATTTCATGTTATAGACCTGGGAGACATAAAAAGACGTAACCAGAAGGCTGTGAAGTTGTGAAAATTGTAGCTGCATGGATTAGAAAAATATTGAAGAGATAAAGTACAGAAGTATTCAAAACAATCTGTAGTATCAAGAAAGTTGATCAAGAGTTTTGTTCCAACAAACCTCAATTGAAGGAGATTGAGCATGATGAAAAGTATAAGAAAGGGCACCCAAAATGACTGGATGTAATTCATATGGATCTTGGTTAAAAATAAAGTTAAAAGGGACAACAGGAAACATTATAGGGTGGGTACATACAATAGTAAAAGACTTTGAAAAATGCAGATCAAGAGATGTTTTTCTTCACCTCACACCTTGTTGGAACTTGGAATTTCTCACTGAAACTAAATGTAGGGAGATTCAGAAGAAGTAAGATTAAAGCATATCGGTTAAACCACCCCTTTAGAGATTGGATGAGGTATATTAGTTTTAATTCCTGTATTTTCTGGATATACCATCTGGGAACAACATGACTTGAATAAACAAACAAAGAAACAAACAATGAAAGAGAACTACTTCCACTGCTTGTGGTTCCTTGAATGTATTTACTTGCCCAATACTATTCTTATGTTCTTAAGGCTATACACCAAAAGAAAGAGAAGCACTGTTATTTGATTACCTTTACTTGGAGGCCATCTGCATTTACTTCTCCTGAACTGTTAGCTGGCTAACAGCCATTCTTAGAGCTTTTGATTTAAGAAAAATAATATAAACAATTGGTGCCTAAGGCTGTGTGATTTCCCCCCTTTCTTTTTCTTCTTTTTGTTCCATTATTCTTGTGTGCCCTTTGTTTTAGATTAGAAACCTGAGGGCTAAGTCTTTGGTCATTTCTTCATCTTGATTTATAGCACCTTCTAGTGTCACCCAACCATTGTGACCGTGATACAGCAATAATGAGGACAGGTTATATATATATATATCACCTCAACAGTGGCTAGTTGATGATAGCAGATGTTGTAAAACATTTGAGAAGAAATTATCTGTGTTACAACTGACATTTGTAATCCACTTTAGGGATAATTTGCAATAAAGAGTATTTTAAAATATTTAAATAAATGATATGATAACATTGTTACAAGCTTGCACAACTTAAAAGGGAGTTATGAGATGCATAAAAATATAAGCTTTCAGTGGCTTCTAGAAGGACGATACTTCTTAATGTTGGTGAAAATGAACCGGTGATTACCAGTTGCTGGGGGAATGCAAATAAAGAAGTGGTTTTGTTCCCCTTTCCTACTTGTGGTTTCCCATTGACAACTGTAAAAACATGATGCTGAACTAAGCAGCTTTTGGTCAATTCAATATAGCTTTCCTTATATGTGTTGTGTGTTTTTCCTGCTCTAATCTATTTAAAAAGCAGCTTCTCTAGATAAAAACGTTCACAAACATACACCACATGCAAGCATCCTTTATTTACCTCATAGGCATTCTTGATATTCAAAGGCTGGCCAAAGGCTGCCACGTGGCCTACAATTCCCTTGTTCCATTCCAAGCGGATGCAGTTGTTTGAAGCTTCTTCCAAGGTAGAACCTTCTGCAACATCAAAGAGTCGGCTGATAAGAAACTTCTCATTGGAACTGTCTTCGCAGACCAGAAATAGGGAATACCGATCGGCAGCTATGAGTTCATTGATGTGCAAGAAAATTTTATGACAAAGGGCTGTGACATCCAGGTGACTAGAAATATCCTTCACCAATTCTAAGAGTCTTGAGCATTGATCACCTGCCTTGGTTCCAAGTGTCCGAGATTGGAGAGGCATCTGTTCCTTCTTTTCAGTATCTGACAAGAAGCTCACTGTTCCAACAGAATCTTTGATAACAATGGGCCTAAGAGGTCTGTCAAATTCAGAAGCTGATATCTTCCTAGTTGGTGGTGTGGAATTAGTGCTTTCAGTCCGTATGGAACAAGAACAAGCTTCACTGTGATGTTTGGTCCCTTCTTTGCACACTGGAATAGTATGAACTCTCTCAGAAAACCATGCATTGACCATCTCTCTGCATAAGAGAAGAATACAGTAAATAAGAAGACAATTGGTAGAAGTAGTGTCGATACATTGAGAAAAGAAGCACATCTGTACAGCCATATCCTTTTCCTCAGGATGTTCTCTATTTAAAACCAACTCAGAGACTGCCTTGAATGTTTAACATAACCTAGCAATATCTCTGAAGCCCTTGGTGGTAAAAATGGTCTGGGTAAAAAAAAAAACAGTCATCAAAACATTGAAAGATTTTAGCATCCTATGAAATGTTGTAGATGACCATTGAAAACTTAAAATTTCAAAATATTTCATGTTTTTAAAAATTATTTTAGCTGATAGAACACAGGTGTCAAACTCATGGTGTCATGTTGCCATCACATGATGTATTGCAACATTTTTCCCCTTTGTGAAGCTGGGATAGGCATAGCCTACACATGACGGCTGGCCCATGAGCCGCCATTTTAACACCCCTGTTGGTGGACACCAATTTATAAATCCCTGATTTAGAAACGTATGCTTCGTAAACTGAATGTCGTTTCACATCAAATTGAATAATTAAGTTTTTCATATTTAATCCCAGATGCTACATATATACATATCCTTCTTATTCCTAATAAATGAGAAATATAATAGATTTCAGACAAAATAATAGCCAATATATATAAAACAGACCTATCTTTAATTCCCCTACTAAACTAAATATATGGTGCAAAACCTTCCAAATGTTTTATTTTTGTTTTAGTTATTTATTTGTATCCTGCCTTTATTATTTTTACAAATAGCTCAAGGTAATGAACATATCCAACCTTCTTTTTTTTCTCCTATTTTTCCCCACAACAACAACCCTGTGAAGAAGATTGGGCAAAGAGAGAGAATTCACTCAGCTGGCTTTCATGGTTAAGGAGGGACTGCAATTCATGGTCTCCTGCTTTCTAGCCTGGTGCTTTAACCACTACAACAAACTATATTAATATGTTATATTATAAAAGTGGAATATATTGCCAGTGTCAATAAATTCACATTCTAGTTATTTACATATTTATTTAACATACATCTATTTATTCAAGTTGCATAGAAAAATATTCAGATCGTACTTTTGGAGCACTGGATTTCAATATTCAGTGCTTCTTTCAGTCATATTTTCAGAACGGGTTGCAATGAAAGTACCCAGCCTCGAACACTTGTATGAATGAAATATGTCCAAGCTGAGCAGCTTCAATGAAAGCTGTGTGTAATCCCAAAGCAAACCAGCCTGGAAGCACTTCAGACAGCATTGGGCAAGAAGGCAGAAAACAGCCTTCTTCATGCAGCAAAGGCCCAAATTTGTTAAGATAAAATGGGCAACTTCTTTACTATGGCAAAGTGAATCAGGTCACCACCATGGTTTGAATCACTTTGTCAAAGTGAACCTTTGTGTTTTTTGCATAAGCCTACAAGATTTCACTTGGACAAGAATGAAAACAAGGAGGAGAGGTGAAATGGTGTTATTCTGGTTGACAGAAGTTTGGCTGAACAATTTTTCAGTACACGTCTACATTTTGCTAAAATATCTGTTTATAAGAATGAATTCAGAAGAGTCACAGCAGTGAATTATACAAGGAACAACCCTTAGTGATGGATCTATGGAGAAGCACGATAGAAGCTTTGAGGGTGAATTCAGACGGGAAAGTTGATAATTTACATACAGATGTATATCTTTCTGCTGTAATATGTATATCAACCATGCCATTATTAAAGCTATTTCAGGAATTTGTCACATGTTCAGAATAAAGTACAAGTGACTGCTGTTATGAGATTCAATTTGCTTTTTCTCAAAGTACAGGTCTTGGAATTCAGTAATGTTACAAGGTCTGATTGTTCAGAGCTTTATTTTTTACAGATGGTGGAGCAATGATTGCCAACTTTGCAGATTGTAGTTAGACCTAAGCTTCCATGGAAACGAAAAGACTGTGGTTTGTTGGGGGCAGAAAATAATATTAACTGATACCCAGGCTTCCTGGAGCTGAGTTCTACTTCATTTGTGCCAAATTTTAGGGGTGAATGTGAGTACGAATATGATGCTCACCAAATATGGGTTTTTTTCCCTTCCTATAAGACAACAAATCATCCTCTGCTTTCCTCTTTCTTTAATAAAATGCTGTAACCAAACCGGATTCTTGCCTTCTGTAAATATGAAGGTACTCAACTGATATGATTGGGCAGAGAGAAAGCTAGAAGAGAATTCAAATATTAGGGAAGGAATCTATATAGGCCAGTAATTATGGTATCAAAAACACTATTCACCGATTACAACAAAAATATGTGTTGTGTTTATGCATATGTATGGGTATATGTATTCCCCTGAAATTAGGAAAATAAAATCAGATGGGGCTGGAGAAACATATAATACTCTTCCCAATTTGTAATGGGTCAAACTAAACTAGATTAATATGGATTTTTGCCTCTTTTATCCTCACATAATAAAACTATTTTAAAATTGAGCCAAGTATTTATCAATTTGATACTTTCAACTTTCTCTGCTTGGTATTATCCAGCTATGGTTACTTTATAGCCAGAAAAATCAGTTTGACTTAAACATAACCTATACATTATACTGTACACATTTCACAAACACAAAAGAAGGCAGACCTGTCTTTTCACTAGGAAATCCAATACATGCCTAACCATAATATATGTTGCCAAGTTCATTGGAGTTTATTCCATTAAATCAATATGGAGAAATGTAGCTTTAACCAGATGTTTTCCAGTGGGGAAAGCTGACATATTTCCCTCCCTAGAGTTTTGACATTTATATAAATGTCATCAGTCAAATGTCATCTAACTTTTAAATAAACCGATTTTAGGAATAAAAACAAAAGATTTTTTTTCTCAGTGTGCTATTCCTTTCTCATGATAGCTCAATCCACCTTTCTAGCAACAAGGTTTATATTTATGCAGTACTTATTAACAATTAGTAATAAGGGACACTAAAATTGAACTGAACTTTGGGAGACCTATCTGCTCAGTGCATAGCAAATGTAACATTGAATATTTCTTCTAACATACAAACCCTATTCTTAATCTGACAATACCAAAACATTAAAAGTTTAAAACTAATGGCATACTGGATAGCAATGGCCACATTGCTCAATTCACTACCAGGTTGTGGCAACCCAGGAGACAGAACCTACCCCCACCCAGGGGCCTCCAGGAGCCAGCAGCCCAAATGTAATTCAGCTGCAACTGTCTCTGACCAAGGAAGCTGAGACGCCCAGGATGCCTGCTTCAGCAACTGAAGCAGAAAGGGATGAGCATTGGTGGAAGAGAATCCCTAAAGCAGTCGAGGTTGCACCGCCATCTCCCCTAGCTTCCATCGCCTGGGGCAATGCATAAGTGAGCTACAAAGACTGGAGTCGATGAAGGAGTGGGGAAAAGTCAGAACCCCATTTCCTCTAATGGAAGCCCCAAGTGAATCATTAGAGCAATTCAGGGAGGAATTCAACCATGCCACCCTTCGCAATGAGGGGCCATCGCGCCGCCCAAAAGAAAGAGGAAAAGAGGTGGGGAGTGCAGTTGATCCCCATGAAGTGAGGAAGAGCCACATCCAACCCACCAAGCTCCAATTAGCCAGCCCTAAGTTTAAACTGAGCCTAACCTCGGAAGAACCCCGGGATGCTCACGACCTTCAAGTCCGTTTTACTGCATTCTCTTACTGTTGGCTTAAATTTATGTTTATTTTTATTTATTTTTAAACAAGTTTTATTGATTTTTTGAAGATAAACAAAACATAGGACATAAAAGTATAAAACCTCCTTTCTAAAAATTACTTATGAGTTTTAACAAGGCAAATAAAACATTATTTTTTAAGGCATAGTTCCACATTATCACATTTCCATTTAAGCACATATATATCTTTTCCAAATTTCTCATTGTTTCTCCCTTCGCTTTTATTCAATTATATTTCTTTCTATCAAGGTTTTATTAATTCTCAATCAAACATAAACACAAAAAATACAAAACATAAAACAAAACATAAAAAGATAAAACCTCCTTAATTATCATTTATACATGTCTTTTCCAAATTTCTCTCCCTTTAGTTTTATTCCTCCAAGGTTTTATTAATTCACAATCAAACGTAGCTAACCAAAACATAAAACTTCTTTTGAAAAGTGGCTTAGCCCCGGGTTACATCTTTTTTTACAGACCTAAATCAAATTCATGCTCACCTTATATACCATTCATATCTTATTAGCCATTCTATATTTTCTATATAACTTCTCCCTTCTTTTCACTCTCTTAATTATATTTTATTTCATCTTATTTCAAAATCATTATGTTTGTATCTTTAGTCCGTTCTTTTCCAATCATCTATTTATCTCTTCTCCTTAGCAAAGAATTTCCCCTGTAATCACTTTTAAAGTGTGACGCCTTTCTATCTTTCCCCTAAAGTAACACTTAAAATAATACATAATTTCTATCCTGATTCTGCTTAGTACATTCTACATGTTGCATTTTAAAATAAAAGAATAATGAACTTATAATATAGTTAAGTATATAATTTCCATTCTAGTTCTAATTCTAATTAATACATTATTTTAGAATAAGAAAATGAAATAGTAAATTTATAATAACATTAATTTAGTTTTATTTTGTGTGGTTTATGAAATCTGCTTTAGAATTTATGCTGTCTTCTTATTTTATTATTTATTTTGTATAGTTTATAGCCCACTCTATGAAAAAGCTTCCAAGCAAATTACAGTTTGCTACAATTATAAACTCAGCAAGAAAATAAACAAAATCAAAACGATAATAATGATGTCCATTCCTCTAAGATGGTCATCAGTAGGTTGATAGTTCAAAGAAATAAAACTCTCTTGAAAAATCTTGTACACATGACAAAGGAAAGAGCTTTACATTCCATAAAATGGAGATAAAGAGTTAAACCCTTATTGTTTTAATCGTGTCCTGTTCACTTCATAGCAGAAAGAGACTCTTGGACCTTCCTGAGATATTCTCACCAGAAAACTCCATTTCTGG